TGTTATTGGTGCTAAAATGTCTGATGCCCTAGGGATATATTCTCGTAGCCAATGTATAGTGCCTAAGAATGACTGTAATTCTCGTTTATTACGCGGAGGAGGAACATTTTTCATCTGATCTAAATGCTTGACTTTAGGTGAATTAGTATCACCGTTGAAATGATAACCCAAATATATCAGTGAATTAGTAGCAAATTGACATTTCTTTATTGAACAAGGTAAATTATGGAGTTCAAGTCTCTCAAGTACCAAATGTAGATGTTTCATATGCTCTTCGTGATTGGCTGAATGAATAATTATATCGTCTAAATAGACCATTACGAATTTATGCAAAAATCCTGAGAGAACATCTTGAGCCATCAAACGTTGGAAAGTGCTAGGCGCATTTTTTAGCCCGAATGGTATTACTGTGAACTGAAAATGTGCACCGTCAGATGTTGAGAATGCCGTAAGAGGTTTTGCCCGATCCGTTAGACCAATTTGCCAATAACCGCTTTTCGAGTCGAGAGATGTAAAAACTTTTGCAGATCCTAATTCTTTGTGAGTGTCAGGTATCTTTGGTAGTACCGAACTTTCGTCCTCAGAAATGTCATTCAAACGCCTGAAGTCTACGCAGAATCTAGTTTTTTTATCAGCTTTCTCAATTATGACTGGAGGTGATGAAAATGGGGAGTTAGAAGGTTCGATTACCCCTGCAGAAAGCATTTCAGATATTTGCTGATCTAAAATAGTTGTTTTACTAGCAATCATAGGATATGGATTTACACGAACAATGGTATCCGAAGTGAGTCGAATATCGTGTTGCACGGTACGAGTAATCGGTTGTTTAAGTGAATCATCAAAAAGTAAGGAAAATTTCTGAAGTGTGTTATGATACTCAGTCTGTAAATTAGGAGATAAATGACTCAAACTGAAAGCATAAGAAACAATTGATTCAGATGCCGGAGGTGGAACGATGTAAACAGTTCGCCTTTGAGTTTTTCCAAAATAAACGCATTGTCGAGATCCATCAAAAATAACCTTTTGCTCTCGAAACCAAGAAAAACCCAGTATCATTTCCTCCTCAAGGTCATACAAAACAAGAAAATCTGAGGTCAAAGTCATATCAGAAATTGTATATGTTAGTTGTATAATGCCTTTAGTGTTAACTGTAACTGGTCCACAACCAAAATGTGCGTGTTTTTTCGAAAGTAGGATAATAATTTTGTAAGAAAGAAAATCGTATTAAATTTTTGGTGGCATCCGTGTCAATGAAAGCTTGTATTTTTTTGTTATCGAATATCACTTGTAAATGGGGAAGAGAGTTAGAGGATTCGGCGAACAAAGTATTCAGGACAGGTCGGTCACCTAATTCGTCCTGCCCTGAACCTCGTTTTCCAGAGAATACGCATGTGGAGCTCTCGACAATCTGTTTGGATTTGAAACGTTATGGTCTTGCGGATTTTGATTATTCAAATTAGAATTAGAACGAGACTGAAAATTCTGAACATTAGTCCTATATGGATTATTCGGACATTCGCTATGAAAATGCCACGCAGAACAGAATCTACATGGAGTCCTCGGTTTTATGCCATTAGTATTTATATTTGGCTTCGATTCTGTCATATTTGTGGGGCGTCTAGCTCTGTATTGGGATGACTGTTCTGCATCAACATCCTCTGACTTGGGATGATGTATCTGTGAATTGAAATTTCTAGATGGGTTGAAATTATTACTGGATCGTTGGTCCTTTTCTATAGCCATGGAAATCCTAGTTAGCTGTTCCACTGTATCAATGGTCAATCCTCTTAGATGGCTTCGGATTTGGGGATGTATTTGTTCAAGCAGAATATTAACCAAGACATATTCTGGAGCACCAGGACGAGGATATCTTCGTTGAATGGTTGTCGTTGCCCATATAGTTGAGTTGTCAGCTGGGAAAGAACAGCAGTATTGTTGAATTTCTTCAAAATGTGGTATTCAAACAGACTCCAACTTAGTTTTAGGTTTTTGTATGGTTGATACTATTCTGCGGCTTTGCCTCGTGAATGTTGAATAGCAATGTCCACTTGTTCACACTCGGGGATATTTTTGTCACAAAAGTGTTCTTTCAACTTTTGTATGAACGCCACTGGATCTTTGGTATCTTCACCACTATACGATAGATGAAGAGGTTTCGAATCAGTCCTTTGTAAATGATTCACTAATGTCTGCATCGCCGTCAAAAATGAAGAAGCTAATTCGTGAGGATTAGGCTGCGATTCTCGAAAGTCATTTGTGATTGATTATAACGTGGATTTGTTGAAGTTTGGTGAGCTTGGTGATTATTTACAGGTGAACTAACTCGTAGACTTTCAAGACGATTTCTAATTGGGAAGTCTATATCGTCTGCGAAATGGAAGTGAGGACGTCTGTCATTATGTAAATTCTGTGCTAATACACGATCATTTATAAATGGTATGGGATAGTATTCAAATCATCGACAACTACATATGCGCCTGAGAAATCAAAACTATCTGCCGAATTCATTCTCAAAGTATTATTATACCACTGAGAATAAATAATAAAAGAAATGGTACGCCTATGGCCGCAAGAATGCAAGAAATGACATCAACACTGCCAGCAGACAGCACAGACAGCAAACGCACCAACCGCTTTGTCGCTAGGGCCGCTCGAAACACAGTAACACAGAAATCTCCGAGGCGGCTGCCGCTCGAATGATGACACACAGAGAGGTTTGTCGACTCGGCAGCAGAGTGGTCGTATGAAATACTCGTTCTCAGAACGAAGAACGATTGTGTTGAAGTGGCAATATGGAGAATGATTTGGAATATTTAGCACTTTTGGGGTTGCTGTATCCGCGTTGGAAAAGAAAAATTAAGAAGAATCGGCGAATGTGGGTGCATCCAATAGTGACTGACCGCCTAAGCGAAGGACATTTTTATACCATATTTGCTGAAATACGGGAAGATGAAGAAAAATTTTTCAATTTCACACGTATGTCCATGGCTTCTTTCAGTGAATTATTTGGTTGTATAAAAGAAAAACTAACAAAGAAAGACACTCGTATGAGAACTTGTATTCCACCAGAAGAAAAGTTGGTAATAACTCTCAGGTAAGTAAGAAATAACATTAATAATAACAATTTTTTTTATATCTCAGTAATATAGAATTTCAATTGATCATCATATGAGATGAATGATTCGAATAAAGAAAAAATGATTCTCAGAAAAATAAATCAAATTTGCTCATTTCTTGTATGTCAAGTGGATGATGAAGTATTGAAACATTAATTATACACTATTAATAAAGTATCTATCCGACAATTTGTGATAATTAACGATTACTCAGTTCTGAATCAGTTTCTTCAGTGAAATTAGATATATAAGATGAAGCGGATTCGATTGGAGATGGTGTGGAAATCGAAGTAGCAAATGTTCTAGGAGGATACTGTGATTCAGATTGCAGTTGACTTTGACTATATGGCGATGCTGATGGCTGCTGATTTGGGATGTACATTTGTGGGTGGTGAATCGGTTTGAAGTGATATGATTGTGGTTGCGATTGATATGGCTGTTGAAAGTTATCATTTTGTTGATGTCCTGAATATGACTGAGTCGTTGGTACATATGTAAATGATGTCTGGTTCTGGTGCTGCTGACGGCTTATATTTTCATACTTATTTATGCATTGCATGATCTCAATCTTGCAACTTGTTTTCAAATGGCTTGGTAATGATGGAAGGCTTTTCAGCAAAGATAGCAAGAAGTGCCATCATCATCATGTTCAACTTTTTCTCTCGCTTCGTTTCTATTCTCGTACTTTTCCAATGAACGTAAGATTTTATCTTCAACAGGGTGCAGTCTTTTCTTGCCCAACTGTGTACGTGACGCTTTTGATACAGAGGAACGGGTGGAAGAAGACGCAGATGTAGCTTCCTGGAGTTCATCTTCTTCTCCGTCGTCTTCATTTCCTTCTTCTACACGTTCATCTTGAACTGATGTAGGTCTTGAATCTGTACTTTCGAACGAACTGACTGTTCTTCTTGGTGTCACAGTATCCCTTAGAAATTCTAATTGCTGTGAATATATGTAGGGAACTTTTTTGCGAGCTCCGTTCCCAGACTTTTCTTTTCGCTCTTGAATATCTCTTGCAAACCGATCCCTAATGTTTTTCGATTTTTCATGTAATATGTCTCCTGCAAATAAAAATAGTTACGGTAAGTTATGTTGGAAACATGAGAACTTTCACATATCTTCTAATTGTTATGATGCGTTGGTCATGAGTTCAGTTGGAATGTATTCGTTGTGTCCATATAGGTAACATTCGATATTCATTTCAGGTACTTGGCTACTGGGTGTTCGCTAACTGAACTACACTATACATTTCGAGTAGGACGGTCAACTTCCAGTTGTATCATAAAAGAAGTTTGTGAAGCAATATGGTTCTGTCTTGCTGAAGCAACGATACCAGTACTCAGTACTCACAAATTCCTGGAAATAGCTGCTGGTTTTGAAAAATATGCAAATTGTCCGAATGTTATTGGCGCCATCGATGGAAAACATATTCGAACGAAACAGCCACCTAATAGCGGTTCCATGTTTTTTAATTACAAAGGATATTTTTCTACAGTATTACTCTCCTCCCCCCAAGGAGCCGTGAGACCTTTTCGTGGTGGGGGGAACCAGTAGCCGCAGGGATTCCGAGAGCGATGCCGGCGGGAGCATAAGCTCCTGGCAGGGTCACCCTTGCCGGTAAGGTCGAGGATGAGCGGTGAAGCTAAGGACGGCTCAACCTTAGAGGAGTAAACCTCGATAAAAAATCCCCAATACTAAGGTATATGCGCTGACAGTACGAATGGTAGCTGGGTGATGCTGTTATTAGCAAAACCTTGAGAGGTGGCGACACTCAAGAAAGATAGCCCGCTCACTACAAGCGAGCACTGTAGTGAGTGAAATAATTTCTTCGCAACTCGTGGGAATAAGATGGATGATAACTCAACAACAAATTCTAAAGAAATAATGGAAATAACTCAAGCAAACGAAGATGGCAATAGCGAAATAGGATCTGTGATTATGACAAATATGGACAGCGACCTCCAGGCAAAATCAAGCAGTCAGAGAACTGGCAATAACGAATATCAAAAAGCCAGCATAAGCAATACAGGCTTAGAAGCCACAAGAGTTTCTAGCGAGAGTCTGACGCAATTTTCTGAAGCTAAAGAAACTTTAATTAATTTCTTAAGCTCTTCTAAAGAAAGCATAAATAGGAAAAAAGTAGCCACAGAAGCACTGGAAACAATGACCAGTGCCTTCACAGAACTGATGACATACATCACCCAGAAGGCCACAGAAAGAAGAGTAACCGAAGAATTGGTTACCTTACATGACAAACTAAACTCAATTAGTGAGAAAATAGATAATATTAAGAAACCAACATATGCCGAAAAAGTAGGCAGCAATTTAAATCTTAAGTCAGCAAAAATACCTTTAGGAAACGGGAAATTGGCAAACCCATCAACAGATAGCACTATACTTATATATCTCAAGGAAGGGAACCAAGATTGCAACTCAAGCGAGGACACTTTGAGCACTCTGAAAAGCCTAAGGGCAGATCTTGTTGGTATTAAAGCCAAAAAACTTTTACCGATAGCCAATAATGGAGTGAAAATAATTGCAGCTGAAGCAAACTTAAACAAGAAGGCACTAGACGAGGCTGGACTAACTAGCAGAATGCCACCAAAATTCAAACCCAGGATGGCAGTTATAGGAGTTCCTAGTGATTGGAATGCCACAAGAACTGAAAACAAAATTAACGATGACCTAGAAATCCCAGTCGATCATCAGCAAGAGGTAAAAGCCCACTTTAAGTTTGGCAAAAGAGACGCACAATACGTTACCTGGATAATCGAGTGCGATCACGAAATGAGGACTGACATTCTTGAAAGAGGCAGACTGTATTTGGGTTGGGTGGCATGTCAAGTCAGAGACCACGTCAGAATAGTAAGATGTTACAATTGCCAAAATTATGGGCACCTGGCCAGTAAGTGCAGAAACAAAACCAGCTGTGGCATTTGCTCTAAGGAGCATCCTACCAAAGAGTGTAACAAAGAAGATAAAAAGTGTATAAACTGCAAAATTAATAAGATGCCAGAAGAAGACTGTGCACACGAGGCCAATGATATAAACTGTCCGACCTATAATAAAAGAATCAGAAGCTATATTAGCAATATCGATTATGGAACATAATACTAGAAGACTAAGAGTGTGCCAAATTAATCTACAAGGATCTAGACTAGCCACATCGGAAATAGCAAAAATAGCGAATGAGAAAAAGTACGACTTTATTGCTTTACAGGAGCCATACAGCTATAGGCGCAATGTTAGAACAAAATATCAAATTCCGCCAAAGGGTCTCCAGAGAATAACTCAATTCTTGCTCTTGTTTCTTGATTAATGTCTAAGTCTGTTTCAGGTAGGTCATCCGGCATTAGTTTATTAATTATTGCCTCAATGGTATCTTCGTGGTCTAATGTCATGTTTCCGTCAGCGTCTCTGACTGTGGAGCTGGCTGTCTTGAGCCTTATTTTATCTGCAGCTAGTTTATATACAGTTCCCCAGGGATTCCTGCCCAGATCTTCCTACGATATAATAGAGGAAGACATTATGAAAGCATTATTTGCAATCAAAGCTTATAAGTCTCCTGGCCCTGATGGTATACATGGTAAGATATTAGCATTAGCGTTCGAGGGAATCAAGGAGAATTTGAAATACTTGTTTAAAAGCTGTATTAGACTCGAATATTTTCCGATTTCTTGGAAAAAAGGTAGAGTCGTTACGATTCTGAAATCTCCAGACAAAGATATTACTGACCCAAAATCATTGAGGCCCATTACCTTGCTATCGGAGCTAGGTAAAATGCTAGAAAGAACATTTATGAATGCAATATGTAGATTGCTAAATAGAAACGAAATTTTTAGTCAAAATCAACATGGATTTATACCTGGGAGAAGCACAATCAATGCTTTGAATGAAGTAATTGATTTCGTGAAGAGACCAAGTACTCATCAAATGACAATTTTTGTCGACATCCCTGGAGCCTTTGACAACATGTGGTGGCCTGAACTGCTAGAATATCTTCACGGTTTAGGCTGGCCAGCGAAAGCAGTTGGAATAATCAAAAGCTACCTGACAAACAGAACAGTGGAATATGGACTTAGATATACCAAGATCACAAAGAATTTATCAAAAGGATGCCCACAAGGCTCAGCCTTGGGACCTTTCCTATGGAATATAACCATGGAGCCACTGCTCAGGAGTAACTGGCCAGAAAATGTCTTAATAAACGCTTATGCGGATGACATAGCGATATGCATTAACTCTAACAACAGAGCAAACTTAGAAAATAAGGCCAATCAATGTCTACACATATTGAATAATTGGGCAAAAAGTCAGAAACTAGAGATCTCCAGAAATAAGACAAAATATCTGATTTATTCAGGACTATCACATAATAGAAATCCAGCAATTAGGCTAGATGGCATTCCGATTAGCAGAAGTAGAAGTCACAAATATCTGGGAATCATTTTGGATGAAAAATTAAGGTTTACAGAACATATTGATTATATCATAAATAAGTGCCGAAATATCTTCTTAACATTAAGGAAGTATATATACATTAACTGGGGAAAACTTGCAGGTTCTATGGGCACAATATATACGAAAGCTATAATCCCAATTTTAACTGATGGAGTCCAATATTGGATAAATAAGATAAACCAGAAAGGAGTACAAAACAAACTAAGAAGACTTCAAGCTCTATGCCTAAAAAGCATAACAGGAGCATACGTAACCACACCTAACGAGACACTGTGTGTTGTTGCTAAGCTGAAACCTATACACATAGAAATCCAACAAATACATTCTACGGCTGAACTTAAAAACAGAGGAAATACCAACTATTTAGGCCAAAACATTAACATCCAGAATTTTAGATACTGGACAGATGTCAAGCAGCATTCAAATTGGCAGGCTCTTCAGCACTGGCAACAAGAGTGGGACCAAACTGACAAAGGAAGAGCTACTTATGATTTGATTCAGGATATTAACTACTGGATTAATACTCCACACTGTCGCCCCGAAAGGACAGCAATGTCCTTCCTCACTAGCCATGGTGAATTTAGATTACATCTGCATCGAATAGGCAAGTCAAGGAGTGCAAACTGCTCAATTTGTGAAGTACCAGATACTCCTTCACATCGATTGACCACATGTCGCAACTTCGAGCAAAGCAGAGATGAAATAAAAAACATTCAACAAGGGATTGACTGGAACGAAGAACCAGCAGAAATTATTAGGAACTTAGGTCCTAATTTAGATCTTTTAGCCAAATTTATAATTAATAGACATAGAAGAGACTGAAATACAAAGTGATAGTAACATAGGAATAAATGTTTTGAACCTTAAGAGTAGGGTTAGGAATGAAAAAATGTCAGTTTTAGTTATTTATGAAAATATTGTTAATTTCTGTTCTGTTATTATACTGAAGTGTATTATTAAAGTTATTGAAATAAATATATATGTGAGAACATTGGAGGTAGCGAGAATGATCAAGTAAAAATTATCAAGTTGAGAGGTAAGCCGAAAGGCAGGCACTCCAACTATTACAGGTTTGAAATAATTTCATATGCAAATTTAAGTTAACAAGTCAAAAGCTAAGAATTTCATGTGATTATATCTAGTATTTGTCAGTAGCCTGCGTCTTTGAGCAGGGGTGGTGGTGGGAGTTTCTCGCTCCCTCCATTGTTTTTTTTTTTTTTAGTATAACTCTCCATGTGTGAAGCCAATTACTGTTTCACGTACATAGAAGTGGGATCTTACGGCAAATCGAGTGATGCTGGAATTTTTAAGAATTCCATTCTTTTTGATAAGTTATGTGAAAATTCATTAGGAATTCCACGACCACGTATCTTGCCAAATTCAACTGAAAAATTTCCGTATGTAATTTTGGGAGACGAAGCTTTTCTCTTGTCTGAGAACTTGCTAAGACCGTACGGCGGAAAACAATTGGCAGAAGATAAAAAACTTTCAATAACCGATTATCCATTGCCCGACGATACATTGAATGCACATTCGGTATTTTAGCAAACAAATGGCGAATATTTCATAGGCCCATAGATGTTGATATCGATTTCGTTGATAGTATTGTCAAAGCTGCTTGCGTACTACATAATTTTGTGAGAAAAAGAGATGGAAAGCATGAAGATCGTGATAATCTACCACAGAGTCATGGTTTCAAACGTTTACAACCTGTTACACGCAATAGAGGAAACACCAGAGCACTATCAATCAGAGATAAATATGCACACTATTTTTCAAACCACTGACTTTGTTTAACAAATAAATAATAAATGATAAAACTTACCTAATTTGTTTTATCATTCAAAGTGAGTTCTCTCCCAACCCCAAAATGTTCTATAATTTCTTCCCAGCTCTGTTTTCTTTTTATCCTGTCACTGTAATCTTTATGGGTCATGTCCCATAAAGCAGGACGATTATGTACTTCAGTTATGAATTCCTCGATGTCCAGATTCACTTCGATTGCACGCAACACCTCTGAAGTCATTTTGAATACTGAAAAGCAACGATAGCTTGCCTGCTCTTGTGAAAAAACGCGTGTGAAACCGATGTGTGTGTCAGGGTTCGTATTAAACAATGTAATCAAGCGCCGCTCCAGCAATAAAACCGCACGCGTTCCTTCGGATAGAAGACGTGTCGAGACGGCTCTCTCGCCGCCAGTCGACGTTGGCCGCTCTGTGTGTTTCTCATCATATTTGAAAACAGAAACATGTGCCGACTCGGCAGCCGTCTCGGCACAAACCGCTGTGTGTGTCATCTCTCTTATATTTGCACTTACATCAAATTATGGTATGTGGGAAAAAACTCATCGAGCCATCCTTGGCTTCGTAGCAGATATAAAATATAATAAAGAAAACTATGCAAGAATACGATGTTATATCAAATGACGAACCTAAAATAACACATCACACACCAACAACTGAATAAAATGTATGAAACTGAGTGAATAATAGGTCAAATGTGATATAAACCGTGAATTTGGAATTTGGGATTGATACACAAATAATGAAACGTTTATTGTATAAAACCCTAGGTAGATATTATTTTTATGATTTTTGTTGATTATAGTAAGGTAGGTATGAGGATTCGAGTAAATTTCCACTTATTTACAATGCCGAACGTTTGGGCGCCATGTTATATTCGTGGGTTTTGTTGTTGTTGGGTTGAATTTAGTTTAGATCTTTTTGAAGTGAAGATATGATTTTATTCGTATAAAAATTGGATTGTTTGTGAGGTGTGTAGATGTATCATTGGCAATATTTTATTTGGTTGAATAATAATAATATGCTGATAGGTACTCACCGGGAAATAAGAAAGGACACCAAATACATTTTTACTTGGTCGGCCAAGCACAAACGGCTCGCAACTTCTCCATCTTTTTAACAGTCTGTCTTGCTCGGTGGTCGGAATCGGAATCACAGAAACCAAAAACGGTCTCTTTCATACTCGCGCTCGGTTCTGACGTTATGTCTAGATGCCCGTAAGTGGTGAATATAAAATGAATAATATTGAGTTGACTATGCAGGGACTATAACAGATACTCATTAATCTTCAACTTGTCTTTGATGGTATCCTCTTCACTCTTCAATTTCCAATCTTTTTCGTCATCGGCCTCCCTCGGTCACTTCTCCTCTTTTTCTTCTCCCCTAAAGCCCAACCTCACCATAGTGCGGGGAAGACAAGCCGCGGCTGCTCGGCAGATTGAGCATTTTGGGAACATCTTTGCTGTCATCACTCAGATGGGACAGTTTTGTGGACATCTGAGTGCGAGGATGGGGCAATTTGTGAACATCTGCTTATGTGGCCGTGGATTGATAACGAGGCTCTGGCAATCCCCTCAAGGGCTCACAACTTGTGAGTACGGGAATGGTGAACCCGAGGTACCCTAGCCGGATATTCACCCTACTTCAACTTGTCTTGGGTGATATCCTCTTCTCTCTTCCGTTTTCAATCTTTCTATCGGCCGTTCTTGGCCAACTTATCTTTTCCTCTTCTCCTCCAAGCCCAACCTCACCATCAAGTGGTGTGGGGAAGGCAGGCCGCGGCCGCTTGACAGATGAAGCATTTTGGGACCATCTTTGGTATATTCTGCCAGATGAGACAATTTGTGGACATCTGTGGCAGGGATGGGGCGATTTGCTGATGTCTGTCTAGGTGCTCGAGGACTGGTCAACGAGGCTCTGGCAACCTTATCCAAGCTGTGGGAACCCGTGGCGATGGATGGATGGCACCGAGGAATGGTGTCGCTAACGGGGCCTCTGGGAAACAGGGCGAGATCCCAGAGTAAACAGCCTTAGCCCTGTGCAGGGGGCACCACAGGGCTGGACCAACCCCTTTCCCCGTCACTCGTAGGAGAAGGAAAGCTTTTGGCCTTCTTCGTAGACGAGAACAGGGATCGGAATAGCAATATTCAGGGACCTGAACGAGAAGGGTCTTTCATATTGAAGTGGCCCTTAACAGGCACCATGAGTCGTGTGTGGTAAAATTGATAACGGCATGTAGGTGAGATACAATGGGCCACTAGGCCTAAGTGTCGTCGGAGCCTACAACGGCAGAAAAAACACTCAGGTAGATTTATTGTAAACTGCAACTCTTGTGACTAAAGACGTAAAAGTGAAGTGAATCTCTCGCCGATTAAAAACGCCCTGTATGATGAATGGCAATTTATCATACACTCAAAAGCAAAAATGTGCAATCCAAAATGTGAGCAAACTTTGATTTTGTTGCCTGTAACGTCTGCCTGACCATACTACCTGAATATATGTCTCATTTACTATCTATATGTTGTCCTAATGTCTACAATCTCAGTCTGCCTCCTGCCTCAATAATCAGAAGTAGAATTTCTTCAATCTTAATTAATCTTTATATTGAGGTTAGTTTTGTGAATTTTGTACAAAGAGTTAGTTGGAGCTCGACTATATAATCCTACAGTTTCTTTCTTCATATATTTATGTTATTCAAATCTAACAATTTTCAGACAGTAATTATAAGTAATATCACATTTTTTAGGATAGGGTTCACATTTATTCACAGTTATAGAATCTTCATAACTCAAGCCCTCCTTAATTATTAGATGTTAGGAAAATTTATCATCCGTCATAGGTCTTGCAGTTTCAAGATTTTCTTGAATACTCTAGAAACTTGGATGTAGGTATATTGATATAAACATTTTTAGGTGCATTAAATAGATATAGTCGTGTGATGAATGAAAAAGGTTTTCTGTGTGAAGGGGTGTTCAATCACCCTGTTTTGGACTCAAGAAGTCATGCTAGCATTTAATTCAGGAGCGAGACATTGTATAATCCAAATATTCCCTTCAACTATAAGTCCAAATAAATTCCAAGACAATGTATATTCAACATAGGTAACACTGGTTGTGGATGAATACCTCGATGTATACTCACATAATTTCATCTCAATTATTGCAGCAAGCTTCAGGATTTTCTATAAGATTTCCTTTGGTTTTGAAAATTTATTATGATTCACCAAGTGTTCATATAAGCAGAAAAGTCCATGATGAGACAAAATTATGACGATCATCATTTCATAATAATATGAGTAGTTGTGAGACTGAGCCCTTGAAGGATGGAAACTTTGATTAGAGGCAAAAAATAATGCTCAGAGCTTAATGGAAGTTTTGGAGAGCGGATGAAAATTCATTTTAGTTATGGTTTTTCAATTCAAGTACCTATTCTCTTGAAAACACAGAGTAATTACAGTGTTAGACTATGGCCTGAGCCCTCAACACAAAAAATTGAAGAATCATAGAAATATTAGCAATATCAGTTACAGAATAGTTATTCCTTCAAATAGTGCAAAGAGTGTGTATTGAAGAAAGTATGCATCTGCAGTGCAACACTTTTTGCAAGAGTTGCACAAAAAATAATTATTTTTATAACAAAGTTTCTGTATACAGGTTGAGTCATAACTATCCCTAATACCACACGTTATCCAGAGGACATCAATTTTATATCCATTTGAAGTCCAAGACGGAACTATCTTTTAATGTACATCGATGTATATCCAGCTGATGATCCAGTTTGTACTCCATCTGGAAGCCTATTTATGTACATGGACGCACATCGAATAGCCACTTGGATGTCCATATAGGATACTCGTCAGTACATATTGGACATCCATAAGTTTAGGTGTCGGGATGTCCGTTGTAGCGACAAATTTTGAGAAGAGTGAAACGAGAAGAAGAAAATCTGAATTCATCTGTCAGAATTATGAATGTAATATAGGTTATGTTCATTTCATTCATTATACCTGTTTCCAGCTCTATACGGCCTTCACTTCACAAGTAAGAGAGGGGCAACACGAGCGTTTATGCAACGCACGTTAAAACGGACGTTATTTTGGAAGGCGCGACAAATCTTGCGGCCACACGAGCGTTCAGTTACGAGCGTCAGTTTGTTGAGTATACATGTGACAGTCATGGAAGGTCCGCAGGATGTTGCCGCATTTCTGATTTTATACCTAGATCTACGTAAAAAAAAGCAGGCTAGGAAAAAACGTAAATGGTGGGTTCATCCCATAAACAGTGAAAGGTTCTTAAGTGGATCATTTTATACTCTCTATCCTTGCCTGAGAGAAGACAATGTGCGATTTTTTAATTACTTCCGCATGTCCCAAGCTTCTTTTGACGAACTTTTGATGAAAATAAGGGGTTACATAACTCTTCAAGACACCAACATGAGATCTGCTATTCCAGCAGATGAAATGTTGGCATTAACTTTAAGGTGAGTTGCACTTTAAAATTTTTGAAATTGTATTGATTCGAAGGACAATAATTCAGGAAAGCTATATTTTAATGTCAGAGATGATTTTATTCGAGAAAAGAAATCATTCACTCGAGTTTTCCGAAAAATATGATCCAGTAGATGAACTGCTGGGCCTAAAACCTAATTCCATATATGTTCTCTGACTACTGTATGCATAATTATTATTGTCATGTGAATAATCATTTCCAGGACTGGAAAATGGTGGTTGATGTATATTAGCTGTACGTTGAGGTTTCGCCTTATATTTTCGTAGCAGCTGCAATACGTCGATCCGGAACTGAAGCTTATCATCGTTTGTTAAGCTTTTCACTGTTGGTAATAGCGATGAAAAGAAAGCCATGTCGTCATCAACATTTTCTTTGGTATTTGTTTCCTCTTTCACTTTCTGCCTCTTCAATGTAGCATCGATAAACATAGAAACTTTATCATCAATATTAGATTTCTTTCTTTTTCTGTTGATTTTCGGAGTGCTCAAGTTTTGTGGTACTTCAGAGGCTTCCACTACCGTTTCTGTATCTGTATCATCTGCATTCTCATCATTTGTGATGGTGTCATCGTGCATATCATTCGAAATGTCTCCATCTTCCTCTATTCCGTTATTACTATATGAAGCTTCTGTGGGGCGTATTTCTCGAGTTTTATATAAAAAGCGGAAGTTGTTCCTCATAAATATAATGTGGAAGCTTCTTTGCACCACTTCCTGACTTTTTCATTGCTTCCTTCTTCTTTTCATTCTGAATAAAATTGTCTCGGACCGACCTCCATTTCGACATTATATTTAGAAGTGAAACAAAGAGAAACTATCAAATTGGAAGCTCATTGATGAAGAACTACATGACATCAATTGCTAAATATACAGAGTGTTCGTTAATAAGTGCGACAAACTTATATATTTATAATGGTTTGAAAAATCTATAACAACCAACATGTTTTTTTAGGTATCTTGCAAGTGGCTGCAGCTTAAAAGGAATTCACTATAATTATAGCGTCGGTCGGTCAACAGCTGGTAAAATCATACAACTAGTCTGTCAGCAAATATGGAATGTTATGAAAAATGAATGCCTACCTATGCCGAACAAAGAAAATTTGAAGGAGATAGCAGATGTTTTTAATAAAAAGCCAACTTTCCACATTGCTTAGGAGCAGTCGATGGAAAACATATACGGTTGATCAAGCCTGAAGAAAGTGCTAGTTTGTATTTCAATCACAAAAGCTACTTTTCCATCAATTTAATGGCAGTGGCTGATGCCAACTATAGATTTGTATATGTGGATGTTGGATCTCATGACAAAGACGCAGATTCGACAATTTTCGAAAACTGCTCCTTATGGAAAGGCATAGAAAATGAAACGCTTCGAATCCCTTCATCAGAAAAAATCTCAGGTATTGATATATCGATGTCATATGCATTTAAAGGGGATGATGCGTTCCCCTTGTCAAAACACTTGTTAAAGCCTTACGCAGGAAAACCTTTGGCAGTGAACAAAAGGATATTTAACTACAGGCTATTTAGAGCTCGACGTTTTGTGGAATGTACTTTCGGAATATTAGCCAATAAATGGCGAATATTTTATAGACCCATTGATGTTGATGTAGACTTTGCTGTTGATATTGTGAAATGTTGTTGCGTACTGCATAATGGGCGTGTACACCTTAGTAGAACTTTCAACTCAAACCATTATTATAATGATCCTGTTATACATAAATAATAAATAATAATAAATAAATAAATTTATTCACAAATAATAATAGATAGGTACAAGATAATTTTAAATTAAAGTAGTGAACAAATCAGAAACCACTAAAGGGAAACCCTTGAAAGTGGTAATTATCATTATTATAATACTATAATTTATAATCAATATCACTTAGTGAATAACTATATATACTTCAATGGTACCTACCTACATCATGAATGGATTGATTATGAAAAAGAAATATTCATGACTTAGAAGTTATTGTATAAACCATCACACATCCATGATGTAGGTTTGCAGTTATTCTTACTGTCCTACTCATAATTCAGATAGGAAAAATCTACAGCGGCAATATATAACTAATAATAACATTCAAAGATATACATATACATACATTAAACGTGAATAAAAATAATAACTGGATATATAAAAATAAAAAAATATAGGCAGCTCTTGAAGGCGGATAATTCAATTGATATAATTAAAATGATAAATATTGTTACTGTCTATATATTGGTGTATCTGAAGCCTTGGCAACCCACTCATCCATTTTTTCACTTTATAACGGAAGGAGTAAATTGAGTTCATTCTGTGACAATAGGGGGGTAGATAATTATATAATTTGGGGCCTAGGTAGACATAACTTCTTTGTAATGTTGTTTTTTCTGGCCTTGGTACAATGTATGTTCTAGCTCGAGTCAGATATTTATGATTGACTAAAGTAAGATTCGTTTTATATTTATGCTGCCTAGTTACTGTTATCAGAAAGAATAATTGACGAATATCTTGCATACCGGTTTCAATAAAGAGGTCATTAGTCGGGTAGGTGCGAGGTCTATGGTATATTATTTTTAATATCCATTTCTGAATTCGTTCTAGGCTCAGTATATACTTACTAGCAGCAGCTCCCCAAGCAATGATACCATATCTCAAATGACTTTCGACTAGTGCAAAATAAAGTGTTTTCATCTGATGTTTTGAAAGTATTTCATTCATATGTTTGAATTTGTATAGTGTGCATCGTAACTTTTTTAGCACAAATTCGATATGTTTGTCCCATTTCAAGTGCTCATCGACATAAATTCCTAAATATTTTACATGTGAACAAATAGCAATATTGATTGATATCGAATTATTTGTGATTTCTAAATTCGTGTAGTGAGGTAAGTATTTAGCATAGGATGTGAATGGGATAAAGTGAGTTTTACTGAAGTTTATAGTCAGAAGTCGATTATTGAAGAATTGCGTTATTTTTACGAAATCAGTTTCAGCCTTGGTCTTAAGGGATTCCCAGCTATTGCTGTTATAAATTACAGCTGTATCGTCCGCAAAACTCAGAACATCTCCCTCAATCTCCAACCTAAACAAGTCATTCACGTAAATATTAAATAGCAATGGTCCAATAACTGTACCTTGGGGTACACCATATTTTATTTCAGATGTGTCACTTCTAATGTTATCAATTTGAACCAATTGTTTCCGATTTGTTAAATAACTCTTGAGTAGTTCATACGATGCTCCTCTGAAGCCAATGTTGTCAAGAACCATCAACAATTGCTCGTGGCTCACTGTATCGAATGCCTTAGCAAGATCAATGAATATGCATAATGATGGCTTTTTGGCATCTACATATTCACTGATCTTGGTTGTGAGATATGTAATGGCATCTTCTGTTGATATATTCTCTCTGAAACCATATTGTTTTTCGGACATTAATTTATATTTTTTCAGATAGATGGTCATTCTGTTTTTCAGGAGTTTCTCAAATACCTTCGCGATATTGGAAATCAGTGATATTGGTCGGTAGTTGGAAACTTCAATTTTGGATCCGCTTTCGTATACCGGTTTAATAATGGCAATTTTTAGAGCAGCAGGGACTTTCCCAAGACGAAAGCAACAGTTCACAATATGACTCAGTGGGTTTGCAATAGCATCAGATACGTGTTTGAGTGTTTCTGCTCTAATGGAATCTGGTCCTGGGGCTTTTTTATTTTTCAGGGAACAAATTATCTCTTTAACTTCATTAGGGTCTGTTTCCTCTAGGAAGAAAGAATTTTTTGAATTCGTATAAGACACAGGAATAATTGTGTTATTTTGCATAATTTTATCTGCCAATTTCATGCCAACCGTTGAGAAATATTCATTGAATACATTCACAATGTCTGTATTATTGGTAAACTGATCACCTGTGGTATTTTTGATATTTGTTATTTTCTCTTCTATTTTTTCGCCATTAGTTATCTGCTTAACACATCTCCAGAGTTCCGATGTATTATGTTGGTTCTCCATTATTTTTTGCTGGTAATAATATTTTTTTGCTTCTTTGATGATATCATTCAGTTTATTTCTATATCGTTTGTAGTTCCGTTTATTCTCTTCTGTGGGATGCTTTTTCATTTCTCTGAATAACTCGTTTTTTCTGTTTGTTGAAGTGACTACTGCTGTTGTCATCCATAATTTCTTTTTCCTATATTTCTTTCTTACTCTTACTGTATTCGTGCATTTTTCAATGTGTCCTTTGAGTATTTGTATAAATGTGTTTGTTTTATGATCAATGTCTTCTTCAGAAAACACAGCCGACCAATTCTCTTCAGCTAATTCGCTTGAAAGCTTGTTGTTGTCTAAAAATTGCTTGATATAAATTTCATCATTGTTTTCCTTCATGGGTTCAAGATATCTTATTCTAACAAACTGCGAAAAATGGTCAGTTATGCAAGTTTCAACTACTGCCGAAGTTATTTTATGATTTTGTGATTTTTGTTTAACGTAAAGGTGGTCAATACAGCTTTTGCTTTCCTTTTGGACACGAGTATATTTATTTATCGCAGATACGAATCCATTTTCTCCTAATATATTTATATAATCTTCTACATACTCTGCGGGTTGTGTTTCTAAAATATCTATATTTATGTCTCCAACGAATAAATGAAAGTCAGTATTTTTGGGACAATTTCTGAAGTAGTTTTCTAATTCATGTATGAAATTATGGATACCTGTGGAGGGGGGTCTATATAATGCTGTTAGTAACACGGATTTTCCATTCACTTTTGCCATTATTTGTATCGCACTTATTTCCCCTATTTTCACAATTACATGATTGAATGAGTTGCCTTTTTTTACATAAACGGCGACACCATCGTTTTGATTTATTTTGCCTTCACTATAAATATTAGTATAGTCATCAATGTTGTATAGAGAAAATGTTGCCACTTGCCAAGTTTCAGATACAACAATAAAGTCTACATTTGTTTCTATCTCATTGAGTAATATTTTCAATTCATCAAGATTTTTGTTGATGCTTCTTATATTGGTATGAAATATGTTGATACTGTTCTTGACGTCATGTTCAAAAACATGATTGAATTTTGTAATGTTTTCAATTGAAATAGTGTCGATTGTTTTTATTTGAAAATCTCTGATAAAGTTATCCATGATTGGATTGATACTTGTATGAATACTTTGAAACAATAATTCTTATTTTTTACAGTTCAGTTAAAATCAATATGAATGAAACAGTGAATGATGAATGAGTGAATGAATGAATGAATGAGTGAATGAATTAATGAATGAATGAATGGAGTGTAGATGAGAGTTATAATGAAGAATAATCCAATAGATTTATTTTTTATCAATTCACAATTTTTTTGATGTTTTTGAACTACATGAGTTGGCTAATTTTTGGCTATCACTATAGATACGGGAAGATGATCTCACTTTGTTCACAGGTTCACTGGCATTCACTAGTTTCCTTTTACTCGTGCCGCCAACTTTTTCAGTCTCAAATACTTCCGAGAAAACTTCGGTGGGAGCTTCTTGCAATTTCTTCCCTGTTTTGGCTTTACCAGTTTCTTGATGATGGTTCTTCGCTGGATTATCTTGCTGCAGTTCTCTAATAGTTGTTGGGGTAGATGGGGCACAAATAATGATTGACAACATAATTCGATCGAAAAATTAACTGGAATGTTTCATT